GCACCAGGAGGTGTGTCCTGCCGAAGCTCTTCAGCACAGTGCGGGGTGACTCCCGCAGCTGTAGCCCATCCCTGCTCCAGCAGGTCCTCTCTCCCTCATCCTGTGTCTCCACACAGAAAACTGCATTCTCCCCCTCCATCACATCCAACTTCCGTGGCAGCCGTTTCACAATCACCCCTATGGAAAGAGATATATGTAAGCTGGGGAGGGATGCTGGGCAAAAGAGTGGGCTCTTTGAGGTGGGAAAGAGGAGGAGGAGGGCAGGGGGAGAAGGAGGGGCAGCAGTAGGCACCACAGCCAAATGAAGGGAAGGAAAGTGCAGGGGCAATGGGGACCCTGGCAAGGAGGGGGATGAGAAAAAAAAAGCCATGCCACCAGAGACCTGACCCCCACCTCGGACAGAGACCTCGGCGATGCTACGCCCCTTGTCCTTCATCTGGCAGAGGTAGATGCCATCGTCGTCAGTGCGGGCATCGCGGATGGTCAGGCGCCGCACCACCCCTTGCTCTTCCATTATGTACTTGTGGCTGGGCTGCAGTTCCCTGTCCTCCAGGTACCAGGCAGTGGGGATGGTCTCCAGTGGTACCTGGCACTCCAACACAGCATCCTCTCGTTCTGCCACCTCCACATCTGCCAGTTGCACCTGGAACCGCAGCCGGTGCTCTGCCATCAGAAGAGACAGGAGCTGAGGGTGTGCAGGGTACAGCACTCACCACGGCCCTTTGCTCACTTGTTCCCAGCTCACAAAGAGCACTGAGCCCTTGGCCCTCCTCTTTTCTCTCCTTTGGCCTGCATAAGATGGACACTGTCTTGAGAAACGCATCCTCCAGAGCAGGGAGAACCATAACACAGCCTGGGGAGACCCAGGGATGCCCCCAGCATCTCAGTGGGGAGTTTTGGGGGATGCAGGAGCATGGAAGACAACACACTGTGGTAAGTATTTTAGCAGAAGGGAGCAGTAGGGTGCACAGGCAGGGACTGCACCAGGGTCAGGGCCACTCCAGCTATGGGTTCTCTTCAGCTGGCAGGGTGGCTCAGGGGGGACGGGGCTGCTGTCAGTGTAGATGGTTGGAGCCTTGCCCTGCAGGGCTGCCTGCCAAAATCACTCAGCATTTCCAGGGGAATTTGTCACCAAGGCACTGTCCCCCTTCCCTGTTCATGGCTGGACACCCACAGCCATCCCGAGAGGCCACCTCTCTGTTTGAAAGAAGAGAGGGACATGGAGGGGGGCACAGCTCACAGAGGAGCCCAGTATCTGCTGCTTCCAGCCCACAGCTCTATCCTGAGGAGCCTGAGGTGACCCTGGCTGCACAGGGCAGGAGGGAGCCTAGAGATGCTGGGCTCCCACTCCCACATAGACAAACTCCTACCAGACAAAACTCCCTGGACCCACCCAGAGGCCAGCCACCCCTGGCACTGCTTGGACACGCTCCTACCTTTCACCTGGAGCTGCACTGCACTGAGGGTCTGGCCAGCAGTGTTGGAAGCTGTGCACATGTACAGCCCCTGGTCCTGCGGCTTGCAGTACAGCACCTTGAGGATGAAGTAGCCCTCCCGGTCCTCATAGATGAGATGCCTGCGGCCAGGGGTGAGGGGCTCACCATCCTTCTTCCAGACGATCTCTGGCTTGGGCTTGCCAGTAACGTAGCAGCGGAACTTGGCGTGCTTCCCCACGCTCACGGCAAATGCCTTAGCTGCCGGCACCCTGGCCGGCACTGTGCCGTTGGGCACCCAGATCTCTGGTCCCATGCGCCGTCCCATTGTTTGCTGCCGCCGCCGCTGCTGCTCCACCACTGGCTCGGGACCGTTAGCAGGAGAGCCATTGGGAAGCCCATCCAGCGGTGCCTGGGGTTCGACCAGGAGCACAGCAGCAGCCAGGGCCTCCCGGGAGCCACTGCGTGCCCGGCAGACATACACACCCCCGTCTGGGGGCCGGGCACCAAACAACTTCAGGAAGTGCCAGTCCTCAGGCTTCTGCCCCACTGCAAAGTGACTGCTCTCAAAGAGGTCGGAGAGCTTGTGCCCATCCTTCTCCCACTCCAGCACTGGGCAGGGCTGCCCAGACACTCTGCAGGTGAACATCACATCCTCCCCCCGGCACACCCTCATGGACGAGGGGGCAATGAGGAAAGCGGGTGCCTCACTACCCAAGCATCCCTCTTCCTCTCGGGGCTCTGCCGCCTCCACACTGAGTGCAGTGGCAGCATAAGTCTCACCAATGCTGTTCTTGGCCTTGCAGATGTAGAGCCCACTGTCCTGGGGTCTGGCACCAGACACCAGCAGGCTGTACAGGTCCCCCTTGCTCTCCATATGGAAACGGCCTGAGGGCTCGATGGGGTTCTTATCCTTTTCCCAGAGAATGCTTGGCTGGGGATCACCTCTGATCTGGCAGCTCAGGACCACATCAGTGCCACTTTGGACAGTGAAGGCACGTGGATAGGCCAGGAACCTGGGGGCTCCCCCAAACCCCTCCATCATCACCTCCCTGTGGTCACAGCAGGCAGCTGGCTGGAGCAGCAGTGGGGACCATCAGTCTGCGGAGATATACAGACAGACCAGGGTGGGGGCTCAGGCTTTATCAAAAGGACCGACCAGTGTGGAGCCCCACCAGGAGGGACCCACGCCCAGAGCAAAACTCCCAGCATGGACCCCATGCTGCAGGAGCATCACCCTCTCTCTGAGCAGCTCAGCCGCACTGGATATGCTCCTGCCTCACCCAAATCACCCATTTCCCAGCCCACTGCAATAGGAGAGATGATAAAAAGCAGCTCTTTGCACCAGGGCTCAGGGCACTCACAGCCTACCTACCCCAGGGTTGCAGAGGGGACTCAAGCTTGAGCAGCGGGCAACCCCTGCCTAGACAGAGAGCACAGACACTTTCTTGCTGAGGTCGGGGGGACGACAGAGGCAAGAGGGCCCCCCTCCCACCCCCTCCCCACCCGCCGGGCATTCCTGCAGTATCGGGTGGTGGCAGAGCCGCATTCCTACAGCATCTGGGCCGGCTCAGCAGGCAGGTGCTGACACAAGGCTGTCACGGGCACGAGGCCCCAGCTGAATCCGGGTACTTCCTCCCAGACTTGGATGGGCAGACGACCCACCCTGTGCCCGGCGGCCACCCCACAGGGTGGGTAAAGTGGGCTCCCCCAGGAGAAGGTTCCCCTCCAGAGTGTGGTCCCACAGGCAGGATCCAGCCTTTACGCACTGAAAGCCATGGCTGGAAATGATCAGCCCCAGGGGCAAAGGGAAGGCCAGGGATGTGGGTCCTGCTTTTGGAGGGCATTGCCTCCATTCCTAGCTTGCTGGGTAACCATGCCTACCATCACAGGCAGGAGCAGGACATTGTGCTCTGTGCCTCCCCGGGTGAGTGCACCGCAGCCTCTGCCCACACCTTGGTCGGCGATGGGGCAGGATCCGTCTCTGCCTTGCTCAGGCATGGGGAGTGGAAACAAGAATACTCCCTGAATGAGCCAGAGGGGACTGTGGGAGAGGGCTGTTCCCCAAGAAGTGAGAAGGGCCAGCTTCTCCCAGCACCCTACCCCTGTAACAATGCATACATTCAGAGTCACCTCCCCGGCCAAACACTCCCCTGACCCACACCCCACCCCATAACAGCCTCTGCAGATGCAGACAGACCTGATGGTTCAGCCTCCCCACTGCACCCTTTAACCACCCCCTTCCCTGATCACCGTGCCCCAGGCAGCCCCTCAGCCCAGTCCCCATCCCCACACACGCACCTCGGTCTGCTGCCTCTCCCCTGTGTCTCCCAGTGCCGGCACCCAGCTCCTGCTGCTTCCCCCAGCTCTGCTCCTGGGTGTCAGTGCACAGGGACCAAACGTTATAAATGCCTGCAGCTGCTGTCCCCAAAAATACCCTCTGATGACACGCTGGGTTGATAAGACCAAGCCTGCTCCATTCAGCGCCTCGCTGAGGCAGGGCTGGCCTACCTATGTATAGCAGCCTGGTGGGAGCCACCCTGGAGAGCTGGGGTGCCACGGCCCCAGCTGTGGCTCCATGATGGCTCAGCCAGCAGCAGGAGACAATGCACCATGTGGGATGCAAAGCGTGGGGTACATGGTGTGGGGAATATGGAGTGGGATGTCAGACTTCAGGGAGAGAGGACATGCCATACAGGACATGCTGCATGGGGTGGGATGTACCGTGCTGGATGCCGCATGAGATACCAGGCTGAGGATGGGATGTGCAGGACACTGGGCTGTGGGAGGAACAGAGGGGATACACAGGCTGCCCACCACCCACAGGGCAGGCAGGACTGATGAACTGAATCGGGAACACCTGGCACTGTCCCCTCAGGCAGCCGTGAGAGGAAGGGCCCTGGGTCCCCTTGCAGCCTATGCCTATGCCTCTCCTGCAACTCCCACACTGTGAGCCAGCCCATGGCCAGCCAGCCCAAAGAGCACTGCAGGATCCTTTGCCTGGCACTGCTGGAGGGCCTCCAGGTGGCTTGGCTCTGCCTCACCTCTTCTCTCCCTGAAGCTGGCCCAGCATTTCCCAGTCCCAGCCCCAGGGACGTCTTGCCGTCCCTCCTGCTTCATGTCTCCAGGACCTTGCCACATTCCAGACTGTCCTGGAGGTGTCACAGCCACCCCACCCCTAGCCTGCTCTCCCTAGGGCCCCATCCTTACATGCTGGTTGCCCTGGCTTGTCCCAGTGATCCCAGTGCCCAGCCTGTACGCCCCAATTCGCCTCCCCCATGCCAAAGCCTCACAGGGCTCTGAACCCCATCAGGTCCTTGCCCAGATTTCACTGCTGTGCACAACTCCTGTCACCTCCCACTATCCCCCCTGAAGCCCCAGATCTCCAGTTCCTCCACCATGGGGGGCACCCAGCAACAGCAGCTGCAAAGCTTGTTCAGGGTGCCCCCTCCATCCCTGCCAGCACAGGAAAACCTTCCTGGCAGCACCCTGCCCACAGCCCAGCCTCCCCAGCCCCATGCACCCGCTGCTCCTAACAGCATCCCCCACACACACCCCCCCTTGCCCAGGCGCTGCTCCCCCCCCACCCCAGACCACACTGTCCTTGCAGTCCTCACATTCCAGACGTCTCAGCGCTTTCACAGCCCAGAGATAATATTCACGACGAGCAGACGTTTGCGTCAGTGTCAGATAGATCTCAATGCCACCCTGCCCCAGGGGGAGCACAGCGGGCAGACAGGCTGGGCAGGCAGGCTGAAGCCCACGGCAGAGCCCCTCAAGCCACCGGCCTGCTGCACGCCCCACGGTCATGCTGCTCCTCCTGCACCTGCTGCCTGCCATGCTGCCCACCGCTGCCCTGGCCAGCTGCACCGGGGCGGGTGCCGACAGGCAGCTCATCCTGGCCAAGGTGCGGGCTCGAGTGCTGGAGCACCTGAGCCCCCCGCTTCTTCAGGAGGAGCCCCAGATGGAAGCAAGGAGGGTATACCGGAGAGACATCCTTGAAGACAGTGAAGTTGAGCCAGAGGAGCTGGAGGACACCTCCCAGGTGATCTTATTCCCTTCCACAGGTAAGAACATCCTGGTGGAATGGAGAAGGCAGAGGGGTAAGCAGGGTGGGGGCTCAGGGCAACACAGATGCTAAAGGGTGGAGAGGTGGCTGTGCCGGTCTGCAGGGGAAGGGAAAGAGGGTACGCCAGGCTGGGGCATGGATATGGGCAAGATTTGGTAGAGAGCCAGGAGGGGGAAAGGTATGTCAGGCAGGGACAGGCAGAGCAGCCTAGTACAGACAGGGAGAGGTGTGGGTAGCACAAGAGAGTGCTGAGAGGCTGAGGAACATCTGGCCGGGCAGGATGCAGAGATATGAGTAGGGCTGAGGAGCAGGCAGGATGGAATAGGGTGGGATGTTAGGGAATAGATCAGGATACTGGAAAATGGGATGGGATACGAAGGGACAGAGCAGAATGCTGTGGGATGGGGTAGGCTGACCAGCTATAAAGCACAACAGTGGGAAATGGGGCAGAATGCTGGGGGATGGGATAGGATGTGGATGCTGGGGGAAGGCAGCAGGATGACCAGCTATGGGGCAGGACACTAGGAGGTGGGGCAGGATGCTGGGGCAACACTAATGGACCAGCCTAGGGCATAAGCAGGACTCAGCTGTGGGGCACAGCACAGAAGCTGCTGTGTAGCACTACACAGCAGCTCCCCTGCACCCTGCCACAGTCTATGCTGGCAGCCAAGTGCCCTGCCAGCACTCCAAGGACCCTCTGCAACATTTCAGCTGCTGCCTGGCACTGGGGACTCTCTCCAGGTTTGGGCACACACCCTGATCATCTTTTCCCCACCACAGATGTGCCCTGTGAGCCCACACAGCCGGACAAGTTGCTGGAGGAAGAAGGGATTTTCAGCTATCTCTTCCAGCCCTCAGAACACACCCTGAGCCGCATGGTGACTTCTGCCCAGCTCTGGTTTTACACTGGTCCCTCAGCCACCCCGAACCACTCAGCCCCTGACGTGCTGGCCCTGTCACCACAGGGCCGGGTGCCGGTGACAGCCATGGCAGAGCAGACACCCGAGCACTGGACAGTGTTTCACTTGGCCCCGATGCTGCTGCCCCAGCTCTCGCAGCCACTCTTCATGCTCCTGGTGCGCTGCCCTGGCTGCCCCTGCCTCGCCGAGGGGGACAAGATGCCCTTCTTGGTGGCCACCACTCGGGCTAAGGGCAGTGAGAGGGCTCGTCGCTCCACTGTGCCCTGGTCCCCAGCTGCACTGAGCCTGCTGCAGCGCCCATCTGAGGACTTGGCCGCCCACACCAACTGCCGCCGAGCTTCCCTCAACATCTCCTTCGAGGAACTGGGTTGGGACAAGTGGATCGTGCATCCCAGCAGCTTCGTTTTCCACTACTGCCATGGGAGCTGTGCCGCGGGCCACGGGCTGAGCCACCGGCTGGGCGTGCAGCTCTGCTGCGCTGCCCTGCCCGGCACCATGCGCTCCCTGCGCGTCCGCACCACGTCCGACGGCGGGTACTCCTTCAAGTATGAGACAGTGCCCAACATCCTGGCCCAGGACTGTACCTGTGTCTAGAGCATCCCACAGCCCAGCCCCAGACTGTGATCCCACTGAGGAAGAGTTGCTTTCCCAGTGGGACCTTGGCCCCACACTGCAGGGACCAAAGGGACCTGGAGGAGCATTTTGGGCTGTGCCACCCTTCCCTGCACAAGCCAGAGTTTTGGGCTACCCCAGGTACCATCACACTGCCAGACCTGCCCTAGGGCAAGTCCATGCCCATTGGGACATGGCAGGGCAGGGCTAGGCACAGCCTCTGGCCAAGGCACCATTGCCCTGCCAAAGCCAGGCTGCTGTCTGCAACCAGATTAGCCCCCATCTCTCTCTACCTGCTCCCCTCCCTCAATTCTGCCCCTCCCCAAAGACTGGGATCCCTCTTCTGCTGCAGAACTCAACAGCCTCCCCATGCTCCAGGCAGGGCCAGACTGCTGCAACAGGATCAGAATGTGCTTGGGCAAGCCCTTGACGGGACCTCACACTGGCAGGGCTAGTGGCATGCATGGCACTGCAAGTGAGCCCTCTCCCGGCGGCACAGCTTGTTGGAAAGTTTTACAGAATGAGTGAAATAAACCTGTTCCCTTTACTAAAGCAGTGTGGAAATGTTAGCTTCTATCAGAGGCAGCCATGGGGGTGGCATGCAGTTGTGCAGTGGGATGCAACCTCTCTGGGGGACTTCTAGATGGAGAAGTGAGGGGATGGGCAAGTGTTTCAGAGGCATCCAACTCTGACCTGGGGTACCAGACAGGGGACTGGGGTCTGCTGGCCAAAACTGGAATAGCATGGCTGGGTTTGATCCCGCCCTGGGCACGGGAGCACAGGACAGAGCAACATCCCTTCTGCTCCAGGCAACAGGTTGTGGAGTAATGGGGGTGACAGAGGGATGGGGAGGCATGGGGATGGTGGGAGGATGGGGAGGCACGGGAAAGCCCCTCATCCGGCCCCTCAACAGAGATAGGGTCAAATAGGAATGTGGCCAGAGCAATCCCTCTCCACCAGGCCGATGATGAAAGCTGCCCTGTCACAGCCTCCACACAGGAACGACTGAGTCACCCTGGGCAGTGGGGAGGTCCAGGGCACGCGCTGCAGCCCCAGCCCAGCCACGCAGGATTCCCTTCCCACCCCTTCCTCCCGAAGGACCAGATGCAGCAGTTCAGTACAAAACGTCTTCAGCCTTTACTAATATAGATATTAAAAAAAAAAAAAAAAAAAAAAAAAAAAAAAAAAAAAAAGGAAGAAAAACAGAGTGACAATTATTTCCGAGTAAAAAACAACGCTACAAAAGTCCCCGTGTGACCCAGGCTGAGATGATGAGAAACGCTCCACTGGCTCCTGGCCGAGCCCAGCTCGGGGCACCGTGTCCCCACACTGTGGGGCCAGGGTCTGGCTCTGTGTGTGGGGTCCCAGCCCCGCAGGCAGAGTGGGAGGAGATGAGTTTTGGTCCAAGGGCGATCTGCCAGGACAGGGCGGAGGCAGCAGGAAGGACAGCCCCTGACCTCTGCACAGACATTTCTAAGCAGGCCAGCCCACAGCTCACAGCCCCATGCAAGGATGCAGCACAGCATGGCCATACTGGCCCTTTTCTGGCAGCAGTGCCACCAGGACCCCTTCCATCCCCTCCACTTCAAGTGTAATGCCACGCAGCTCTCTGTCCCATAGCTCATCCCAGCCAACCAGACCCCCAGCCTGCTCCCCTAAAGCCCCACACCTTGGGGGCAGTACCAAAATTACCAGCATCACCCTGGTGATGCACATGCACAGCACTGGCTAGTGCTGCAGCGGGTGGCAGCTAGCACGGGGGGCACAGGGAGATGTGAGGAGAACATGCTGCAGAAAATGGGTGTGGGAGGAGGAAAAGAGGGTGAAATGGGAGATAAGGAAGCACAGGCCCAGAAGGGATAACAGGATGGAGTATAAAAATGCCAGGGTGCACACGCGGATGAGTTTATAAAAATGTACAAAAATAAGATATTCCCTTTTTGAAAATTAAGTAGGAATGAACCCCATGGCCCCTGTCCCCTCCACTGCCCACCAGGACAGGGCTGCTCAGACTGCCCTGCTGGGCAGGCACATGGCATCCTCCATCCTGTGCTCCTGGCAGGATGCCTGTCCCACGGTGGCGGCGGCAGCCGCTCCAGCAGTCACCGCCGTCATTCCTGGTGGCACTCACAGCCCTGCAGGGAGCAAGAGGCAGGTTAGCCCCGGCACCAGGTGGAATGGCATCCCCTCTCCGGGGAAGCCTAGAAGCAGCCCGCCATGCCCCCTCCCCAGCTCACCCGTGGTCCTGTCGCAGGCAGTGGTCCCCTTCTCGTGGGCGAGGTTGAGGCGGTTCTGCTCGGCGGCAATGCCGTTGGCCTCGGGACTGCTGCTGCGGGCAGGGCTGGGCGGCCGCGGTGGGGGCTGGAGATGAAAGGCCACCTCCAGGTGCTCCTGGGCCAGGCGCAGATGCTCACGCAGCCGGTCCAGCTCATGCGCCGGGGGAGCCCCGGCCAGGGCAAAGCGCCCCTGGGCCAGGCTCTCTTGGTAGTCCAGCTTGCCATTGGTCAGCGGGGCCTGGGGCAGCTCCTTCTTCAGCGAGTGGTAAGTGGGGGGTGCACTGGGGGCCTTCTTGGGGTACTGTGGCGCAGGACTGTCGCCATTTGGGAGCGGGGGGCCACCAGAATGGCTCAGGGCATCACGGATGCGCCCCACACCAAGGTGCAAGAGCTCGCAGAGGTTGAGGAAGAGGCAGAGCCCGCTGACAGCATACATGATGAGGAGGAAGATGGTCTTCTCGGTGGGGCGGGAGACAAAGCAGTCGACGGTGTGCGGGCAGGGGCTGCGGCTGCAGACGTAGGAGGGGCTCACCTCAAAGCGGTACAGCAGGTACTGCCCAAAGAGGAAAACCATCTCTAGCAGTGAGCGGCACAGCAGGTGCAGGACATAGGCACGCATCAGCCCATCCTGCTTGATGCGGCGCCGGCCATCGTGCTTCTCACCACCCTCTGGACTCTTCTCCTTCTCCACCTCGATCTCCTCAAAGATCATGGGGTCTTCTTCATTATCATCTTCTGCCTCCTCATAGTCCCGCCCGGCTCCCCGGCGCACCACCGGCATGCGTGCCCGCCGGGCTGCCGGTGTCCGGCGCCGTGAGGACTCAGGCATGCGAGCAATGCGGTGCATGGCAAAGCCCAGGTAGAGCACTGATGGTGTGGCCACCATGATGATCTGGAAGATCCAGAAGCGGACGTGGGAAAGGGGGGCGAAGGCGTCGTAGCAGACGTTCTCACAGCCTGGCTGCTGTGTGTTGCAGACAAACTTGCTCTGCTCGTCGTAGTAGATGGACTCACCCCCCACGGCTGTCAGCACGATGCGGAAGACAATGAGGACAGTCAGCCAGATCTTGCCTACAAAGGTTGAGTGGTTGTTGATCTCCTCCAGGAGCCGTGTCAGGAAACTCCAGCTCATCCTGGCTAGGCAGTTGACTCAAACCCTGTGGGGAAGGGGCAGGCAAACAGGCACTGAGAAAATCTGCATGCACCTCACTAGGACCATCCAGTCCACAAGCTCCCACCCCAGCTCCCTCCTGCTCCCTTTCCCACAGATTCACAAACGCAGCCCTGCTCAGGCAGCCATCTCCCGAAAACTACATCCCCTGCCACGCACCGCCTCCCTATGTACCCATCTGCATCCTGCTCCCGCCCTTTTGCCAGCCAGGTGGGTGGACGGAACCCGGGGAAAGGCTGGGACATCCTGGTTCCCAGCAGGGACATATCTAGGGGAAGAGTCAGCACAGTCACAGCCAGAGTAAACATGTCAGCACAGGGCAGCACCAGCTGGGGACTGTGAGGGGTCAGGCAGAGGCAGAACCACCTCCTCTGCCCCCATTTACCATCTGGCCCTGGGCAGATCCTCAACCAGTGCCTCACCTTGTGACAGCACCCACACCCTCCCATGGGGGTCCACAGGCCCCTAGAGGGCATGCAGCAGCCCCACTGGCCCACTGCAGCTGCCAGCCCTGAGCCCTGGCCAAGGGGGGCTCCCCTGAGGAGCATCGCCCACCAGGTGCTCATGAAGCAGATGTTCTGCACCCCACAAAGCTCTCCCCTGAGGACTAGCAGAGATGCAGCATCACTTTGCCCCTCCAAATCTCTGTGCTGTGCACTTTCTCCTGCAGGACACCTAGCCTCCAAAGCACACAGTGGCCAGTGCTTAGAGCAGCCTGAAGGCCAATGGCAAGGGCTGGCACGGGGAATGGAACAGGAGGCAGGACAGTGATAGCAAGGGGAAGTGTGGGGCAACCAAGGAATTGCACAAAGCCCTGGCAAAGAAGCTGACACCAGAGCGTAGGGAGGAAATTGCAAGGACCACGTCACAGCTCCCAGCCAGAAGAGAAGACACAAGAGGAGACACCCCACCAACGGGTTTCAGCAGCTTGTGCACAAGATGATGCAATGGCATTAAGTGGCAGGGCTGCCTGGGGCAAGAAGAGGGGATATCCCCAGTCTCCTCTGCCAGTCCCATCTCATCACCTCCAGCCATGGCATGTCCCAAAGGATGATGGCTGCCACTGCACTCATGCCACTATTGTCCAGAATAAGAGGATCTTTCAGGTTTAGTTCAGCCTGCCTCCTGACCAACCCCACCTAAACAGAAGAGCTCCTCCAGCACAAGCATCCATGCTGGGGACATGCTCTTGCTGACGGCCTGGTGGGAGGTGGCACAGACTGGCACTGGGGATCCAAACCCAGCCCATTAGGGCCACCATCCTCCTGAGGTCAAACGCCTTGCAAGATCTCACTGCTGCCCCGTCCCACAAAGGGCCCTCTCCCCACCCCCACCTCACTGGAAGGAGGATGCTTTGTGCCTCCTTTAGCCCTTGCCCGCAGCAGCAGCACACTGCCCTGGCACCAGGGTGAGGGGCTTGGGCAGAGAACAAGGTGAGGGGATCAGGCAGGAGGGCAGCCCTGAGAGGCATCAAGCACATGGAAAGCAAAAGCACACGTTGGCACTGTCATGGTGGCCATGGAAGAGTGACACAGGGAGGGCCAGCAGCATGGAATGGCAGCAGCAGTGGGCATGGCCGGGACAACATAGAGCTGCCCTCAGCTTCTCTCTCACCAGAGATAGGTGGCCAGAGTCCAGCTCTGCCAAGGGGCACAGCCCTCCAGGGCCTCCTGGCCACGCTGGGAGTCAGGACTAGCACCACACACCTTGGCTGGGCCCTACATCTATGCCTCAGCCCTACTGACCCCAGTCCCCTCATCTGGGGCCCCCAGTCACCTCTGCCCCTGCCTGCATTGTCCAGGGCCCCCAGTCTCCCCTGCCCCGGAGCACAGCAGCAGGCATCCCATCTTGGGGCTCACCAGCCCTTGCCCGCTCGGGGACCCCTGTTCCACTGACCCCTGCTACTCTGGGGACTCAGCCACAACCCCAGTCTTCCCGGGGTCCCCGGTCCCACTGACTCCAGCCCACCGGGGGCCTCGAGCCCAGCTACCCCCACCACCTGCCCGAGATGCCCAACTCCTCGATCCTCCCTGCCCGCGCCCCAGCCCACGCCTGGGGCTCTCGCCTCCCGGGGCACCGTCGCCTGCCCACCTGCCTCCCCTTGCCTACAGCCCCGCGCCCTCCCGCAGCCCCCCGCTCCCTGGCCCCACTCACGGCGCACCGGGACGAGTGGCTCCCGCCGGCAGCGGCGGACAAAGCGGCGGGGCGGCGCGCCGCCGCCTCCCGCCGAACAAAGGCGCCCGGGGCCGCGCCGCCCCGCCCCGCGCCCGCCCGCCCGCCCGCCGGTGCGTACCGACCGCCCCGCTCCGCTCCGCACTCCCGCCCCGCCTCGCTCCGGCCGCCCCGCTCCGACCGCCGGCCGCGCCACGCGGCGCGGAGCTCTGGCCCCGTTCCGGCCGGTCCCGCGCCCGCCGGGCGGTGCCGCCCTCGGTCCCCCCCGCCCGCGGCTGGGGAGGCCGCGCAGGACTGTGGGCAGGGGCCGGCGCCGGCCGAAACTCGCCTGGAGGCGGCTCCCGCCCCGCTAGCTCCGTGCAGCCGCCGGCTGTTCGGCACCCTCCCTCGGCCCCGCGGAGCCATTGGCTCCCGGGAGGCCGCTCCTGGGAGGCGAAGCGAAGCCGAGGCTTCCTGCCCACCTCAGGAGAACGCTCTGAACCGCGGGTGCGGCTCAGCCCGCGCGGTGTTCAGGGGTGAGCCCGGCCGCGGAGGGAGAGTCTCCTGCACAATAACCTCCTGCCCCTCGTAGCATTCTTCCCCTCCCAGTGGAGAGAAAGTATGGAAGAAAGGAGAGGTCCGATGGTGTGGTGGGAATGTGCCTCAAACCTTTTGAAGCCCGTGCTTCTTCTTGTGTTCCAGACCAGGTCCCTGTGGCAGGACCCGGCTGAGCATGCAGCACCTCCGGATGTGCCCTAAAGAGTCACCGCTGTTCCCCCACGGCCAGCGCAATTACAGCAGTGGCTTTGAGTCACCACTCTGGAGGAGTGGGGCTGTCCCTCCATCCAGGCAACCCAGCCACTCACTTTTAGCACTGATAAAATTGACTCTGGAGATTTTGTTGGTGCTGAGTCTCCACGCTGGTGGGCCACCCACACCAGTGATGTCATGGGTAGAGCATCCTGTGCCCTGGTGTGGGGATGAGGAGAGATGCCAAGCAGCCTTGCACAACCCAAACACTCAGGGGAAAGCTGTGTCTGCGTGAGCTCATGAAATGCTGCTTCTCCTCACTGAAACATGTGGTCCCTTCTGCAGAAGGGTTTCCACAAGCTGGCACTGGTGGGTTCAGCACTGGGGGCCAGCTAGGGGAGGACTGAGGCCTTGAGGTTGGGGCAAGGAGAGGGGTAGGAAGTGTGGCCGGCACACATCTAGTGTGGGGTTTTTGTTATTCTGCAGCAGCTCTGCTGCTTCCCTAAGTCAGCAATGCTACCATGGCATTGGAACAGCACTCACAGAGCCCAGGCACAGACTTGGTGCTCTTACATGGGAGGGCTACTGAAGCCCCTGCAAGAACAATGTACTGCACCCTGACATGGGTGCAGGTGTGTGCGCAAGAGGCTGGGCAAAAAAGCCCTACTCTCAGCTCTCTTATTCAATCCTTCCTTCTTCCCAGCTCATGAATGTGTCAGTCCCCTCCTATGGAAGGAGAGCTGCTGCAGAAGAAAGGGGATTTGGCCTGGAGACCAAGAAATGCTTTCCACTGAATTCCATTCCTATGCATGCAACTACAACATTAACATTTCTGGATGGGGAATAAATGCATGTTTCAGATCCAGCACAGGCACTCTGGTCACAATCTCCATCACAGGTCAGAAGAAACAGGAAGACATGGATGCAGGGAGGCATTAGGTTGAGCACAGAGACTCAAGCTTTTGGAAGGATGTAGGGAAGCATTCAAGGCCAGAAAGGAAACCCTTTTTTTGCAGGTCAGCATGGAGAGATGGGAGCAGGGCAGGGGGCTGCCAGCATGAGGGCAGCATCCCAGCATGCTGAGGATGTCAAGCAGCACACTGCCTATGTTGAACCTCCTGCACTTGCCAGGCAATTAAAGTAGCTTGGGGCTTTCTCACAGTCACCACTAGTTTTCAGGTGCTTCCAGATCTCGCCTCCAGCCTGGCTTCACCCCCAGGTAGCCAAGCCAAATTTGCCAGCGGTAAGGGATCTATGTGACTGTTTGACTTTGACGCTCACCAACAAGCCCCCGTTTCACCAGCCTCACATTAAAGTGAGGAGTGTGACACATGAGGCACTGCAAACTGAAGCCATTGAACCCAGACTGAAGCTGCTTGTTGGGCAGGGGTCAGGCACTGCTGCTGCAGCATTTTTGTGCAGCACGGCTCAGCTCATGCCTGGACTGTGGAACAGAGTTTGCCGTGGGAAGCCAAGGCCAGGGAGTGGTGTTGCACACCACATGGACAGCCATCACTGTGATTGTCAGCATCTGGCCATTGGCATCAGAGCCCTCCAGCTTCCTCTGTGATGGTACCCTGAGTGTTCCCGGGCTCTACCCTTTTCCTGAGCTTGCGACATCCAAATGACCGCAGAGGCATCGCCCTTTCAGCCTGGGACAGGGGATAAACCCACATCATCCAGGAAAGGAACACTGGATGAAGGGTGTTGCCTGCCCGCATCCCTTTCCACATCAGCTGAGGCTGACAGAGCATCGTGGGCAGGAAGGACGTACAGACCAGCAGCATCATGGGCTCAAAGATTAGCTTTTCAGAGGAAACAGGGGCACCGTCACCAACTGCAAAAACCAGGATCAGCCTCAAACTACTGAGGCTGTGTAGCAGAGCCATGACAGGGCAGCTGCACAGCCCAGCAAGAGCAAGGGGAGCTGGTAATAGAGGAGATAGTGGCTGAGGGGGAGCATAAGTGCAGGGATAAAAAGAACATCCGCTTCTGGGACAAGCACTACAGCTCAGGAAGGACATGGCAAGAGCTCGCACAAGCAGTTCTTCCTCACTGGAGGCACCCTCTGGGACTTCACTGCCAGCCCCTGCCTCAGCTGCCAGACACAGGGTGCAGGGAGCGTGCAGCCCAGTCTGGGTCTCGATAGCAGCCTCGGTTTCTGCTCTGATTGATAGAGCAGAATGGGCTGGGCCCTGCTATGACTGCCTCTGCTTTTGGGGATGGTGGCAATGAGGCAGATGGTGGGGTTGGGTGCCCTGGGTGTGTTCGCTGTGGGGTGACATGGACCATGCCTGGCTGGTGCTTGGCAGTGGGGTGAGGGAGCCAGCTCCACCCTCCCTGAGCAGGGCCATGAGCAGGTGGCACTGCAGGTAGGCAGCCTGTGTCCTCAGCAGCAAACACCCTCTTCCCAGATTAAACAATTTGTCTGGCACTGGGACAGAGAACAGACAGCTCTATTAGGGACTGTTTGTCCTGATACAGGACAGCTCCATAACTAGCTTAATAACCTTCTGATAACAGGCAGAGGCACACTCTGTTGGAAAAGTACAAAGGGCAATGACCGTCCCCTCCAACAGAGGCTGAGAGAAGGCTGGGATGTCTTCAAAATAAAGTCCCTTTCCCTTTCACCCCCCCACTTGATTATGTAGCACAGTGGGAGGTACATGGCACAGCTCCTGCTCACCTCTCTCATGCTAGGGTCTCCTTCCCAGTTTCTGGGTGTTAACTTCTGCCAGCACCACGTGGAGCACTTGAGCCCAGCCTGTGTTGGCTGCTCTTCTTCTGCCAGCCAAGGTGGAGGGCAGCCCACAGGGAAGGGGTTTACAAGGTCCTGGGATACCACTCTCTATGCTGGCTAAGGAGCATTGGCACCTCCAAGGGATGGAGCCAGCCAGGCAGGTCCATGAGCCGCAGGGAACACATGCCCTTTACTGCTACATCTCCAGTCCTCTGGAGATGAGGCCAGTGGGAATATTCTGCCAGAAGTAAATGACCAGTCACTCCAGTCACCCAGTTTGACTAGAAACAAGGCTTCACTAGTTCGACATAGTGCAAGGGGATGACAGCTAACCCTCAGGCTATGAATGCTCAAGGCAGTACTGTTTTAGAGGGCAGAGAGATGCAGCAGAAAGCACTGAAACTTTCATCAATGAGGTGAACAACAGATTAAGGCAGGGCTGGTATGTGCCCATGGAAAAGTGGTGTTAGCTTCAGGCTCATGTCAATGGCCAGCCTGAAGCCTAAGCCCACAGCTGCCTGCAGCCTGTCTCTAGAGCCCTATGGCCACTCCAGCCTGGGCATCCCTCCAGCTACATACACCTTGAGACGAGACCGCTCCAGGTAGGCACAGGCAGCGAAACACTGAGGTTCAGACCAGCCTCGTTCTGCGCTAGCAGTTGAGCACTGGAGCCAAGCGCACCCAGAAAAGGAGAAGGGAAAAAGGGGGAAAATCCACATTGTTTTGAGACCACAGCTGGGGGACTGCATAATCAAAACTGAGACAGGCAGCAGGTATCTGCAGCTGGTTCAACAGATATCCCACCTTTCTGCAAACCCCAGCTCTCCTACAAAGCCTGGTCGGGGCTGCCTGTAGTGCTGGAGAGGCAGAGTGTGTCAGGGGAACCACTGCACACACCCAGCTGATGCAATGAGGCCAGTTAATGTAATCACTGCGCCTAGTGCAAGAGGCCCTTTAGCAGAGCATTGTGATCACAGAGGAACCACAAAGGGGTAAATCTGTAATAACCAGGACAAAACACTAAGGGAAAACAAAGCGTTTCATTAAGAGGCAGGAGACAGGTTGTGGCAGCGCACGTGAGCTTCCCTGTCAGTCCAGTGGCCAAAGGAATGCAGAAGAGCAGGAAGCTGTTAACAGAACCAAGAGGCTAATGCTGAGCTGAGAGCACAGACATAGCAAGGAGCAGAAGCAAATGAGTAGTCACTTCTGCAGTAAAAAGCAGGAAGAGCTTGAGGACTACGGACAGGCACACAACCAAAACCTTTGGTTCTGGCAGTCCACACTTTGCCAGGCCCCTCAACACATACCCAGATGCTGGTGTGACAGAGGTGCCGCTTCGCTAGAATTGGAAGAGTTACAGGGTTGAGCTTTCTCAGGGGATCAGCTTAAGCAGAAGAGGCATCAGTGAGCTGGTTCAGTAACTCCAAATTTGACACTTGCCCTTTGTGAAAACACAGCTAAAGAAGGTAAAGATAGAACTTACACAAGCTCCTTAAATGGCTAGATGAAGAGATAAAACCCTACTGGTCTTTACTGTCTCAGCTTTCTCAAGAGTCCTTCCCTGGACAAAGCATGGACTGAGCTCACTCCCACCTG